CTGCTTGCTGACAAAAATGTTTTGCATTTTCGAATTTAGGATAGAGCATATACTAATTTTCAGCAATAAAAAAAAAGCATTTTTTTGGTCGGAAAATTGAAAAAAAATCCGACGGAAAAAGGGTTTACTGTTTTCGACATGTACAGTGCACAAAAAAAAAAAAAAAAAAAAAAAAAAAAAAAAAAAAAAAAAAAAAAAAAAAAAAAAAAAAAAAAAAAAAAAAAANTAGAATACATAATTCTTTAATAATTCACATTTAATCATCAGTTAACATAAATTCTATAATTACTATGATATTTTTTAATATAAACTTGTTACGCGATAGAAAATACTTTTTCGATAACCTAAATTGAAACCTCTTTAAAATTCAGCAATTATGTATGATTTTAAAATCTTTTTTATAAATCGGAATTCTATAATAATTCGTATTTAGAATAATTTGGAAGAATTTTTAATAACTCTTTTTCAGTATAAAATTCCCAACTTATCTCAGTGTTGTAATACATTTTATTTTTTGTAATTTTGTTAACGTACATGGAATAAAAATCACTAAAATTACTATTTTGACAGCTGAAAAAACTTCTTTAGAATTGAATAATTATCTATAAGATATTAGAAAATTTTATGTAGAAATGGAATTCAATAATCATGCGGATTTGATCCGCTAAATTTAAGTTTAATATCCATATTTCTGTACCTAATTCCCAACTTCATTAGATGTTTTGCCATATTTATTTGTATTAATTTAAAATGACAATCGGGTAATAGAAAATGCTAAATTACTATATTTATATAACTGAGAACCTTCTTTAGAATTTAATAATTATGTATAAGTTACTCTTTTTCTAGTTTTTTTTCTACTTTCTTTTACTAGTTTATGTATACTAATTATGTATAATACTTTTTTTTCAAACCAATTATCAACTTAATTTTATTTGTTATAAATAATTTAAAACACCAAGCAAGTAACAGAAAATATACTAAAATTACTATTTCGAGAAATGAAAACAATAAAATGTAAACAATTGTGTATAAGGTTTGAAATTTTTTTATAACCTTGGAATTCTATAATGATGTGGATTTTGTCAGTTAATAGGAAGAATTTGCAACGCTGTATTTTTGCATTCAATCAGGTATTTTTTTATGTTTTTTTGTTATAATTTTGAATACTAAACAAGTAATATGAAATGCTAAAAATTCTATATTGACTACTCCAAAAAAGTAATAGAAAATGTCAAAATTACTATTTTGACAAAAGAAAACAATCAAATTTAATAATTATATATGAGATTTAGAATTTTTATATAACACTGAATTCTACAATAATACGGATTTCAGAATTTATAATATTTTTCTCGTATATAATAATTATTGTTTTTAAAATTATCGTTCTTATTATCACACATTTAGTAAAAATTACGAAACGGAATAATTGTTTTTTTTTTGCGCTGCTTTAAAGTATCCTTATAAAATTACTAAATTTTACCTTATTTACCAAATTTTAGCATGCATTATAAAGCAACATTTTATTGTTAATTTGGCCATAATCAATACTAAAGAGCTTATGTAAATATTAACATGCTTTACGGTGTTCACATGCAGATACTAAAACGGTAAATTTTACTATATTCTGCTAGTTTTGATCATACTTTTCTTTCTCAGTGCAGATATTATTTATTAATTTATGAGAGGTATATAATTATACAACAGTACATTAGTGTATTAGTACATAACAATATATATTAGTATGTAATCATTTGTATATAACAATATATTAGTATGTAACAATGTATTAGTATGTAATCATTTGTATATAACAATATATTAGTATATAACAATGTATTAGTATATAATATAATATTGTTACATGCTAACAGTATATTAGTATGTAACAATATCATTCTTCTGAGGGAAAATACTAGTTTTACTGGACTGTTATTAAAGCGTAACACTGAAATATTTTACCAAAGACTTTTTTTCAACTGATTCAATGCTTTGTTAATTTTTTAATTTGTTAATTATATTTTAGATGTTGTTTTTAACGAATTTTTAAATATTTTTTTTCTTTGTTTAAAAATAAATTAGTCAATTTTATTCACAACTAATATTTATAGTATGACAAACTATTAGAATATTTTGGTTGCTGTAGTTTTGATAAGAAACTAACTATTGCTTTCTAAAATTTTTTTTGATGCAACGAAAACAACAAACTGAAAATCAAAAATATGAATTTAAATTTTCTTTTTAGCATTTAGCAACACAACCATGTAATATCAATTTTTCTAATGTATATTTCATGCGTACTTTAAAGTAAACATCACTAACTGGGAAACGAAAAATTCTGAAAACATAAACGCAACAGAATGTAACGAAAAGCAATTCATCTACACATAAAATGTTCTTTAACGCGATCGCAATATAAGCATAACAAAAGATTTCCTCGATATGAGCTTCAAGCTGGCGAAGCAACTTGTATACTTGAATGTTTTGTTAAACATGATGCATTCTGGGATTTGGCGAGCTAAGGAAAGTATGTGTCAATAACTTCTACTTCTGAAACCTCGCGTGAAGTATTAGAAATAGATAGAGGAACAAACACAGATTTGAAATTTTGAAGCCAGACCATCAAGCGTGTTTGAATAAATCGCAGTTATGAATGTTTACATGTTCCATACTTTGACTTCAAAAGCGTCAGAAGAAGTTTGACTTCTACATTCGATTTTGCATTTTGTTCTAATGACTTCTTCGGGTTATTTGTTGGCTGCGAAAAATTCTAAATATGTTGTATCTTTAAAGGTTTAAGTGTTTGGCGATGAAGCATCCTATAGAAACCATTTCTGAATTAAATCTTTTTAAATAATATGTTAATAAAGAGGATTTTTTTCTATTCTATACTTTTCTATACTAAAATATCTATTAAAAAACGAGAGATTTGGATCGATAAAAAATAAGTAGTTAAACATATTTTATTTCTAGTAGCAATATAGTAGAATGAAAATATTGAATATTTATAAAATGAAATTTTTAATAAAAATCTTTCTCTAAAAACTTTTATTTCATTAACATATTGAAATAAAACATGAGGCGTCTCTCAAAACACCAAACAGCTCGTTGGTTCAAAAATAATTTATTTTAAAAAAATGCTAGCAACTCCCAAACTCTGCACATTCAATAAAACTGAATATTAATTTGTCAGTTTTCATTTTCTTTTAAACTAGATAAAAATTATAAAATATAAAATATAAATTAAATTATAAAATAATATAAAATATAATAATCAATGAAATTTAAAAATAAGTTTAATTTTAAAATAAATTTAATTTATTTGTTTATTTCATTGCTAGATTGATTTTAATTTTTAATGCGCTTAATAATAATACTGATTTGCAGATTTATAATAAATAATTTTGTTCCCATTTTTCTTTTTCAAATTTCATTCAATACCAAATATTTTTTAATGAAATTAATTTTTAAATACCAAGCAAATAATAGCAAACTCTATACTTTTGTTTGGTTGCATGAAAGCTTCCTTAGAATTTAATAGCTATGAGATGGAAAGCCTTTCGAAAAATTTAGAATACATAATTCTTTAATAATTCACATTTAATCATCAGTTAACATAAATTCTATAATTACTATGATATTTTTTAATATAAACTTGTTACGCGATAGAAAATACTTTTTCGATAACCTAAATTGAAACCTCTTTAAAATTCAGCAATTATGTATGATTTTAAAATCTTTTTTATAAATCGGAATTCTATAATAATTCGTATTTAGAATAATTTGGAAGAATTTTTTCAGTATATAATTCCCAACTTATCTCAATGTAATATATTAAATTTTTTGTAATTTTGTTAACGTACATGGAATAAAAATTACTAAAGTTACTATTTTGACAGCTGAAAAAACTTTTTTAGAATTGAATAATTATCTATGAGATAGTAGAAAATTTTATGTGAAAATGGAATTCTATAATCATGCGGATTTGATCCGTTAAACTTAAGTTTAATATCCATATTTCTGTACCTAATTCCCAACTTCGTTAGATGTTTTGTTATATTTATTTGTAATAATTTAAAATGCCAATCGGGTAATAGAAAATGTTGAAATTACTGTTCATATAACTAAAAACCTTCCTTATAATTTATTAATTATGTAAAAGTTACTTTTTTTCTAGTTTTTTTTCTACTGTTTTTACTAGTTTATGTATACTAATTATGCATAATACTTTTTTTACAAACCCAATTATCAACTTAATTTTATTACTGGGATATATTTTATTTGTTATAAATAATTTAAAACACCAAGCAAGTAACAGAAAATATACTAAAATTATTATTTCGAGAAATGAAAACAATAAAATGTAAACAATTGTGCATAAGGTTTGAAATTTTTTTATAACCTTAGAATTCTATAATGATATGTGTTCAGTATCTCGGAAAAAAGCGCCAATTTGTCATCTTTGTCTTAGCATCCTCGCCACCGTTTCTTGTAACCCCAAACAGTTGAAAATTAGTAGTTGCTATTATAGCATGAGTCTGCTCGTAGCACCAATGATAATAAAAATCTTAAATACAGTCCATATCTATTTTATTCATTTGTTATCAAACGAACAAGCATAGAAATCAAATCAATTGGTATCGAACAATATGGATTTTGTCAGTTAATACAAAGAATTTGTAACGCTGTTTTTTAGCTTTCAATTAGTATTGTTTTATGTTTTTTTGCTATAATTTTAAATACTAAACAAGTCATATAAAATGCTAAAAATTCTTTATTGGCAACTCCAAAAAAGTAATAGAAAATGCCAAAATTACTATTTTGACAAAAGAAAACAATATAATTTCATAATTGTATATGAGATTTAAAATTTTTATATAACATTGAATTCTATAATAATACAGATTTCAGAATTTATAATATTTTTCTCGTATTTAATCTCAAACTTCATAAAGTATTGTTCTACGCTTTTTTGTTATAGAAAATGCTAAAATTACATTTTTGACAGTTCAGAACCTTCTTCAGAATTAAAAGATAGTGTATGAGATTTGACACTTTCATAAAACATTGTCATTCTCTAATAATACAAATTTAATCAGTTAAGAGATGGAATTTTTGATGCCCTAATCTAATCTCAAATTTCATTCAATATTATGATATTTTTTTATTTGATATAGACTCTAGAATTTTTACAAACTTCCTAAAATGAATACATAGATGCATGCATGAATACAGACGAGGATGCTGAACAAAACTGCATATGTAATGTTTTTAGAATAGTATCACTAAAAAGAATTTTTTTATTCTCTTGAGATACTCGAGGCTTTATTTCGAAGAAAGATATTTTTGAAGAAAATACGAACCATGTGAAAAAATTTTCTATTTGATTATAAAAGGATTAATATTTTAGTGGATGATTTTTTAATGTATTCCTAAATTGAGTTAAGGATTAAATAATAAAGAATATTCTCTAATATATAAGGAATAATTTTCTTTTATAATCACCCATTCAATTAAATTTTATACCTGTTTCAATTAATTTTAATATTGAAGAAAAAAAAAGCATGCCAATAACTGTTTTGAGCATTCCTTATTCAATATCATCGCTTTGAAAATTTTTTAAATAATTGTTTTTGCAAATGCAATATTAGTTGTTTTCATTCTATTTGCAAAACAAAGAAATTTGAGAACGAAAAAGTTAAGAAACATACTTATAATATCTTGATGGTTGCGAGCAGAGCAATGAATATTCTCGGTAGTTTAAAAACTGATTTTGATATGCTAGATAAAAAGCATAAAAACCACACGTTAAATTCGTCTGCTATATGAAATGTTACACAAACATGCATTCCGCTATGCTTAAGATTTAATGGGAATGAATCAAAATCGAGAATATTGTATTTTAATCAATTGGGAAAAAGATACGAACAAAAGAGAAAAAGAAAACTATGACCATATACATTATAAACTAGTCAGAAAAATGTCTTTACATAGAAGGAATATAAAAAAGGGCACAACTGGACTATTGAAGGTATGAATTTATTCAGGTAAAATCAGTCTACCAATAGAGTTAGGATTATTAATTCTATATTATGCATCATGTTATGCATTATGGTTCGTTTTGGAGTTACGTATTTAATAGACTGAAAAAGGTATCATTTGGTGGAATACAAAATCAAACTCATAAAAATTTACTAAATTTTACTAAAATTTCGCTATAAAGAAGTTTTTAACAATACTTTGTTGATGATACTTTTTGGGTAAACTTGATTATATTTTTCCTGAAAGACTAAACTGACTTGAATTCAGTTGTAAGCAAGCGAATAAATAGAAAAGTAATTTGCAAAATTGAACCTTTAAAACTTAAAGAAGCTTTATACAAATTAGATACCATCAAATCATTTTACTGTGCTTCTTTAGAATATTAAACTATGTTCATAGTTTTGTGAACTTTTAAACTTATCTGCTTAGAAATTTCAACTTGCACAAATACCAGATAAGATATGAATTAATACTTTCTTATTTCACTTACAAGAGCCTTTTATAACCAGCTTAAAGGCCCTTAGGTCTGAACTGCGACTGTGGTCTAATCAAATCTAAGAATCTCTAATCTATAATTATCATAGTGAGAAATTCAAAAAAAAATTAATTTTATTTCTATAAGCTTTTGCAAGTTCAGAAATTTTGAGACTCAATTTTGGATTGTTTAATGATTATTGTGATTGGAGAACTATACTTGTTAATGTTTGTTGAAAAGTATGCATTATTTTCGCAAGCAAAGATTTATTATCAGGGAGATATTTATTGAATAAGTAAGTGCATAATTAATTCAAAATAATTTAGTTTTTTTCAAAACAATAGCTTGTTTCCATGAAATTGCAAGCGAGCTCCTCTAAATTGTCATATTCCTTACATATTTTTTCAAGAATGAAAATTTTGCTAGAAAGTTATGTTTAAATTTCATAGTTACGATCGTCATAATAACGATCGTTATAATAAACAGTACTGGGAGCCGAAGATTTTCGAAATTTATTAGATCAAATATTTATGATAAAGTGACAGGCAGCAATAGCCACGCTGTAAATTAAGCCAACCGAGCCTGATCAATGATAACGAATTACCTACTTAAAAAAAAATATGGCGAGAGAAAAACTATAGCGATGTTTCAAAATTACGGTAAACATACATCGGTCATAAATATTTTTATTGATGGTTTGAAGTTAAAGAAAATAAAAATTTTAAAGTAGAATTTGGCAACCACTTTTCTGCGACTAGAGCAATAAGTTAAATATTGTTTCCATTGGATAAATATTATAAAATTTAATTTTAATTTAAGGATCAAATGAATTCAGATAGCTAGAAAACATGTAATGTCCATAATGGCACTATATACTCTACTAGTCACACAGCAAGTCAGGTCTCTACCCCTATCTTAAGACTCAAGATATATTTTCCATTCTTAATTTTCCGTTACAGTTATCTTTATCAATTCAATTATTTCATGTTTAGATTAAATATACTCACATATCAAAATGCCAAAAATTTCGATCAAATCCTGTCACACAGGAGAAGATGTAGAATAAGATTCTGTCCAATCCGGAAATCGAACATTGCGTGCCGCGTAACAGTAGCGTACATTAGAACCCGAATTCGAACAAAAGAGTTTTAAAATAACCTTCCATTTAGTGCAGGACACGGTTATTATTTTAGATCTCCTCATCATCAATATGCACCAAGATCTTCATCGTTTTCAAGGAAGGCTTGCCTTTTACCCCGAAGTCATTGCCTTCCCCTCCTTTCCCACCTCCATCTCGAGTCCCTTCCACAATATCCTCACACGCCCCCATCTCTTTATTGTCAATGCTTATGCTTACCCATTCCATCTCCTTCTCCCCTTCCACCCTCTATAATCGATGTTCCAACCCATCTTCAAATTTTATGGAGCATGATCGCAGTCGCTCAAAATCAAATCATATTCTCTACTGCAATGAGTTCTCTTCTTTTTGCTCAGCATCTTTTTTTTTTTTTTTTTACTTGGAAGGAATATACATTTTTTATTTCTCAAACGAAAGACAGAAAAAACTTTTTGAATAAAAAAAACTAAAAGATTTTTTTTTCGGAGGATATGACCGAGAATTCGCGTAATCGTTGGAGGATTTTCGCAAAAATTGTGTGTTTTATGTCCTTCTTCATTGTTTGAAGTGGTCGAAACGGCATGCTGAAGTTATTTTGTTTGATAGTTTTATGTATATATTTGTACGGAGATATTTATATCTATATTACTGTTCAAAAAGCTCCGTATAAATGGATCTTTACATTGAGAGTGATTTGTAGATACTTCTTTGCTTTGAAACTGGGAATAAATTTTTTCTAGCTAAATTTATGGATTCTTCAGAATGATTATGTAAAGAAAAAAAAATAGAGAAATGCATTTTATTATCTAAATAAGTAGTGATGGAATTAAATCTTTCATTGATTTTTAGATACGCTCTCTTCATCATATTTAATGTACTTAACGACATATTTCTTGCGTCTTATATTGAATAAAATATTTATGGAGGTGGTAAATCAAAAGTGGAATTATAATTTCTCTTTCTTCCGAAAGTAAGTAGAAATCTTAAACAGCCTCATAAAGGGAAGCTAAAAAAAATCTAAAATAACTTCGAGAACAAAAGTAAATGAAAATCTAAAATAAGTCTTCTTTGTTTTTATCCATAAATTATGAAAACCATTTATTATTATAAATATTTAAAATATAATTATGGTTAATTGAGTGTCCGTCAAAAATGAAGGTATTGCATGAAATATTTATATTTTTATCGATTTTATTGCTGAATAATTAGACGAATAAACAAGTTATAGATATCTGGTATGATGTTTATATTTTCCAACGTAACTTGTTTTGCTGATTTCAAATCTGAAAACCATTTTTCTCGATCAAGTCAGGTTTTTATGACATTGACAAAAATTAAATTTCATGAAAAACCATTTAATTTTTATAGAATGTAGTTTAAATTTTATTAATTTTAATGGAATACTTTTTAAATTTTATTAGTTTTAATGGAATACTGTCTAAATTCATTAATTTTAAAGAAATACAGATTACATTTTATTAATTTTAATGAAATATTGATTCAATTTTACTAATTTAATGCATTGTTCACAACGACTACATGTTTTTGCCACAGACACCAAGAGTTGGTGAATCTCTTTGGCATGAGTGACACTTTACACTAGAAGCCCCAGAAAAAAGCGCTGAGGAATAAAGCTCTAGAAAAAAAAGCAAAGAAAAAGAGCATTGAAAAAAGCATCAGGCAAAAGAGCACTACTTTAACAATTGCATAAATTCAATGACTGATTTGATTCAGACTGTTCAACATGAATTCAATATAGTTAAATATTTATTCGAATTTAAACAGATAGCTTAAAATAAATGGATAATAATAAATAAATGGATAGATAAAAAGCTTGAAGCTTGCGGAAACTTGCATTTTAATGCATATTGTGATTATGTTAATTGCACATTATACAATTGTATAATATACTTAATAGTTGTACATGTATAATGTATCAATTAACAATCAGGGATTAAATGTTGTGATAAGTAAAAAATATATAGATAAAATTAGGAATTTTTTTATATTAATACAGCTTTTTTTTTTTTTTTTTTAAAAATTCCATCGATAAAGCAATTTTATATCTCAGTTAATGTAATTATTAGAAATCATAGATCTATTTATTTCAGTTGTTCCATTTATTCCAGGAGAAATTTTGCTAAGCAGTATGAAATTAGTAAAGTTCCTTCCACGAACTTTAAATCAATCCTTGAATTTCAAAAATTTTTTTGTTAAAAAGTTATCTAACTTCATTTCATTAAAATAAATATACCACGAACCTTAAATCTATCCTTGTATTTTAGTTATTTTTTGTTAAGAAATATCTAATTTCATTATAATAATTATTTAATTACTTTAAATTGGGCATGAATCTGCTCAGCCGCCGAAACCAAATTGGACATAAATTCATTAAAGTAAAAAGTGTTTGGGCACTTTTAAATTTGGCATGAATCTGCTCAACGACCGTAACCAAATTGGACATAAATTCATTAAAGTAAAAAGTAGTTAAGCACTTTTAAATTTGGCATGAATCTGCTCAGCAGCCGAAACCAAATTGGACGTAAATTCATTAAAGTAAAAAGTATTTGGGCTGTTTTAAATTTGGCATGAATCTGCTCAACGGCCGAAACCAAATTGGACGTAAATTCATTAAAGTGAGAAGTGTTTGGGCGCTTTTTGACTCCTTTAGGGCTTTCTTTCCGGTATTTTTTGAGGGGTTCTTTTCGGTGTTTTTTTGCCAATGCTCTTTTTTTTCTTTTACCATTAGATATAGTGTGGACTTTTAAGATGTGTACAACACTGAAGTATACCTTATATTAAAGATGTACTTTCATGTGTGATGGTATGGATTTTATGCGTGATGTATTTCAAACTAGATGTTTCTGTACAGTATATATAAATTTGATGTGAATATTCATGATGTGAATTCTCATCTGGTACTTCGCTTGACTGTTCATCAATGGAAATAAAAATAAAATATACCGATTTAGAAATTAGTTTTGGACTGGAGAAAAAAGATCAAATTACCATAAGAAATGTTTTAGATCTTTGTTGATCGGGGCGAATTAAACTTCCAAATCAATATATTTGTTCAATTTTTGTGAGGGCAAAAATAGTGCTAATTCTTAGTCATGCTAAATTTGAAACATTAATTTGCATATTATATATACATATATAAATCCGTTTAAAAAATCCATTTATAAATATTTAAGGGTTGTTATATTTAGAGAAAAAATACTACTTGCAGAGGAGTCAGTTCTCTGAATTTCCATAAGTGTGTTCTCACGTAGTATTTGTAAAGATTTTCCCTTTGATAGATTTCATCTTTCAGAATTCATTTGTGTCTTAAGTGTTTTAAAATGAAATTAAACACCTAAAGTATAAAATAATGAACTTTTTTTATCTTTAAAATCTATATTCAAAATTAATCTCGGATATTTTGGAGAAAATAATAATTTGACTTTTATTAAAGCCTTTTAAAGGAACACTTTCAAACGCAACAATTTTTAAACATAACGTTTAAAATTCGATACTCAACCTTATTTTAAACCGATCCAAAAACGAAAAACCATTCTTTTCAATCAAAAATGACTGTTGACTATAAGTAGCAGAGAAGGGCGATTGAGTTGATTCTACGAACAGTTAATCGTTTTCGAATGTGTCAAAGAGGAGGAAATGTTCGGATATCTGAACTTTTTTTCCCCCGATCATTTCCCATGAGGCGTCCCGAGGGCAGCTTTCTTTTTGCACATTTTTGCCGTCAAGCCACTCAAAAGTGGCTAAAGCAATTAACTATCTCGCCTTCACGTAAACGCTAACAAATTCTTCCATTTATTTCAGTACATCCGAAGAGAATTGAATTTGATGCAGTCAATAATAGCAGCCGGAAATATATTTCGCCGTCTTCTTTTTCTACTCTTCTTTTATATCTTTTGCGTGGCTTTTCCAAACGAAGTGAGCTCTTTTCTGCCATTTTTTCCCCCTTCTTGTTCGTCAGGTTCCTTTTTGGAAAAGCGGGTTCGGAAATGGCACTTGGCGATGAAATTCATTTCTCTTTATAGACGCTCCTGAATCTTATCAATGCCACTAGTTGGAATTTATGTTCCAAATGGGTACGGATGAATCACTGTCTTCAGAGAAATGCTTAAAAAGCTTCTCCGCTCTCCTAATCTGTTTTCGTTCCTGTTGTTTTTCGAATACGGAAATCAGCGGCAATGGAGATAAAAAATGAATGGGTTGAAGATATTTATCCTGGAAGAAAATGCCTTATTTCTCTTTTATTTCTTCGAAGGCAAAAGACTCATGTAAAACGTTATTTCTAAATAGCTTGCAGCATAATTATCACTACAAATGAATTCTTCAGTGCGTTTTATCGTTATGTAGATAATTAAATCTCATAATGATATCATTCAATGCATTAGTAATAAATCTTCATGATCATACATATGTATCGTTAGGTAGATAATTTAAAAAAAAAACTACTAACGATTCAATTACTAAGCCGTATGCAGAGTAGATTCAGCATAGCGAGTACTTTCTCAGAGTTGAGGGGGCATCATATAGATTGAAAATAGCCTAACAACCCAGGTACGAAAATATTATCGTACGCCACTGAGGGTTATTCTCTATTATGAGATATATTCAAAAATTGCAATCGAATAGGCTTAGAAATAGTTGTTTCATCGTACTCTCATAATTTAGTGACCAACTTAGCGAATCACCAAATCATTTAAATAACGACAAAACAATCGATTTCGGACCCTATTTAAAATGCAATTTTTGAATATTATTAAAAACAAAAACATAATGTTAACAAAAAATAAAGATGGTTTGAATAATTAAAAGTAACAACCCAAAAGCACATGGCGTTAACTTCAAAACAGAAAAGCGCCTCTTGCGGCGCAAAATTACATTTCTGGCTGCTAGTTTCTGTACAATTCTCATTCCTTATGATGTGACCTACCTCCTCTTTAACACTAAATTGCCCAAGGAAGTCAATTTGACTGCTTTTTAATTTCAATTAAAAAGACAATGATGTATATAATGACGCAATTTTTTAGAATTTTGTGACTTTTGTAATTATTTTCATTGTTGATATTTACTAATAACTTGTTTTATAACTGAAAATAGCATCAAAAATATTAAAAATTAATTTTAAACAAATTTCTTTATACATTAGTTATTCCTTCACAATGCAGTCATTTTGACTGCTTTTGGGCAATATAGGTATT